TTGGGACTTGATTTGATTTTTAGCGGTGTTACCCAAGATTTCAATGTATTTCTTATTTTTTATTTTTGGGAATTATTGCCCAATATCGCTTTTTATAAGCAATAAATTAATAAAATTTTCTACGCCATTTACTCCAAAAGATTTCTTGTATTTCATTTCAAAGGAGTATCGGTACAAACATAAGGCCAAATACCGCCTTTCAAAAAAAAAAAAATCAAAAGTCCTAAATACTCTAACTGCTCTCATGGTCGTCCCCCACCTCCTCCTCATTGTCGTCAACAGCATCAGATCTCCCCTCATCACTGTCGTCAGTAGGCACGAAAGATGAGAAGTCAATATTGGGGAAAGCGGTAGAAACTTTCCCTCGGAGATCCTCGAAACCATCAATAAAAGCATCTGCAAGACCGTTCTCCAAGTCTTCCTCAGCACGGGAAACTCTCTCCCTAGCAGCCGTCAGCTTTGCCTCTGCAACAGCTGCCTCTCTGAGCATGGCCCTCCCATGGGCCTCTACAAGCTCAGCCTCTCTGAGCGTGCTCCTCTCGCGGACTGCCAAAAGCTCAGCCTCTAGCTTAGTGGCCCTCTCATAGGCTGCAACAAGCTCACCATCCCTGAGCGCGCTCCTCTCGTGGACTGCCAAAAGCTCAGCCTCTAGCTTAGTGGCCCTCTCATGGGCAGCAGCAAGCTCACCATCCCTGAGCGCGTCCCTCTCGCGGGTCGCCAGAAGCTCGGACTCTAAATTAGAAACCTTTCATGTGCTGCCACAAGCTCACCCTCCCGGAGCACGTCCCTCTCACGGGTCACCAAAAGCTCAGAATCAAGCTCGACAATCCTCTCCTGAGCAGTAATAAGCTCCCTCTGCACAAGGCTAAGATCCAGCTTCAATTTGTCTTGATTATAGGCCCTCGAAAGCAAGCAGATGGAGGAAGTCGAAACCTAAAAAAAAAAAAAAAAAGGAGTCAAAAACACAGGAAACGACTGGAGAAAGGGAAATAGCAAACCCTTACCTGAGCCAGACCTTCCAAATACGTGTTGACGATATTATCAGTGCCCGAAGCGCTAAGCTCAGAAACTTCTGGCCCAAACACAAACCTCCCAAGCCTTGCCCGGATAGCTGCTGGTCTCCCCATCATAGCACCAGCCCAAATCGGCACTTGGGTAGAAGTTCCTGAACAAGGAGGAGACAAAGGAGGGGTAGCACAAGGAGAGGATAAAGGTGGAACAGATGTGCCTGGCAAGGAAGACTCTGGAGCAGCAGTTGGAGAAGTTGCTAGTTGAGAAGAAGCCACCGTGGAAGCCACATGGGGAGCATCATCTGTCCTTATCACTTTGGAAGAAGGAGGGCTCCTGCTAGAAAAACGGGACACCACCACCCTCTTATTCGCTGCAAGAAATAGAGAAGGGTTAATAAAAAAAAAAAAAAAAAAAGGAGAGGAAACTAGCTCACCCTTTTTCTTCGAAGAGGAGCTGCCAGATTTCTGAGATGGAGCTACAGCTCTAGTATACTTGGGCAGGAGAACTCCCAAATCTTTGCAAGGGCAAGCTTTGACAGCCTCCAATTTCCACTCCTGGTCCCGGGAAAGCACAGGTATATCTACATAGAAAAAGTGAGCACACATAAAAAAAAAAAAAAAAAAAAAAAAAAAGAAGAAGTGTGCAGCATACCGGGCTTTTTAGCAGCACCCCAATGTGTTGGCACCAAAACTCTGTCGGCTTCTGAAGCCCATTCTCCACCAATAAAGAAGAAACAAGATTTCCAGCCGCCGCAATTAGAGCGCATCCCTGTAAGCACTGTACCACTCCGCGCGGTAAAATAATATCATCCCCTATTTGGTGTAGGGGTTTCGCTCAAATTATATGCTGCATGAAACTCCATAGGGGAAGCATCCTCGTGGTGCACTTTTCTCCATAAGGCAAGAAAACCGAGGAGGACTCTCCAACCGTTGGGTGCTAGTCGCCCCGGGGTCAAGGAGAAGTAATGCAAGACTCGACAAATGGGGGAAGACATGGGAAATCTTAACCCAGCCTCAAGCATCTCCTCGTAAACGACAATATCCCCGGAAGAGTCATCGCAAGCAAACTCGCCCAACTCAGCCCGACGGTACAACACGGTCGGAGGGATGCGATAAGTAAAAACAAGCTTAGAAATATCTTCATCTGAACAGAACAAACTACGAAGGGTGCTCACCTTAGACCCGTCATCATCGGGTCCCACTTTGCTGTTACGTTTCTTCTTCCGGGGCCTTAAGGAGTAGTCCAAATCACCATTGGGAGAGTCTTGAAGAACTTGAATCGGGGAAACTACAACAAGGGCTTGATCATCAATGGCAGCATCCAAAGCTTCCCTACTGCTTGCAATTTCTAGCCCAACGCCTGAAAGTGTGCCTGACTGCTGTTGCTCATCCAAACAAAGTTGCCCAGTAACTTGAAGGGTGCCTGGCCTTTCAATATTACACAAAGAAGAATTTTCGGCGCAAAAATCAGCACCTAAGGCGCCCAACTCAGCACCTCGAATGAGAATCGGATCAGCCCGTGCTCCCAGGCCACTGCCTAGCTCTCCCTGACAAACCTTGGACTGATTTTCAGCGCCCCCCGATGGAAAAATGCTGCTGCCCAGCGTTCCAAAGCTGCCCAGCGCAGCAGATTTGAAGCTGTCCGGGACAGCAGAAGCAGCAGCTAGCTGCTGCCCAGCGCACCTGGGCTGTCCAGGACAGCAAGCCCAGCACCCAGGCAGCTGCCCAGCGCCCCTGGGCTGTCCAAGACAGGAGGAGCAGCCCCTAGGCAGCTGCCCAGGCCCCCACGCGCACAGAACAGCCGCCCAGCTGCGCGCGCCGCGCGCGCGCGCGCACCGCCCAGCTGCGCGCCCGCGCTGCGCAGCCGCGTGCCAGCGCTGCCCAGCCGCGCGCCCAGCGCGCCTTCGCCCCTCCTCGCCTCCTCTTCGCTACCCAGCCTTTCAATTTCAGATCCACAACTTTCTTCAACCTCCACCAATCCCTCTTCAATCGACATTGTTCACTTGAGAAGCTCAACTAGCAAGGAAGAAATCACACTCTTAGAAGGATTCAAGGAGAACACACACTTTGGCTTCAACAAAATGGGTAGGACTTGAGTTCTCAAAATCTTCAAGAGGTGGGTGCTCAACCTTAAAAATAAGTGAAGTGGTAATTTGAAGAAGAAGACTATATTTATAGTCTAGGGTTTTTCAAAAAGAGAAAAAAGCCCAAATAGACTAATATGGGCCCTCTTCAAAATAAAGTAGGCAAATAGAAAATTATGGGCCCTCTTCAAAACAAAGTGGCCAAAAAGAAAGTCATAAGCCATTTTTTCAAAACTAAAAGGCCAAACAAAATATTATAGGCCTTCTTTAAAATAAAATGGAAGAAACCTAAAAAAAAAAAAAAAAAAAAAAAAAAAAAAGAAATCAATGCCTCCTTCTCCAAGTCTCCTTGGACATGGGGCATTGGGGGGGGCAAATGATGGGTTAAGCCCAAGTAGTCCAATTTATATATTAAAGCCCAACCCCGGTTGAGGAGCCCAACCTCATCGTGAACCCACCAAGTCCAAGACAGACTAAGACCGCTAGACTTCTTGCTTAGCACGTCACCAAGAGGAGAGCACGGGAAGTTTATCTACACCGCCTTAGGGAGCCCAAGGCCGGTTGGACTTCTTGCTTAGCACGTCACCAAGAGGAGAGCACGGTTGGACTTCTTGCTTAGCACGTCACCAAGAGGAGAGCACGGTTGGACTTCTTGCTTAGCACGTCACCAAGAGGAGAACACAGGAAGTTTATCTACACCGCCTTAGGGAGCCCAAGGCCGGTTGGACTTCTTGCTTAGCACGTCACCAAGAGGAGAGCACGGTTGGACTTCTTGCTTAGCACGTCACCAAGAGGAGAACACGGGAAGTTTATCTACACCGCCTTAGGGAGCCCAAGCACGGTTGGACTTCTTGCTTAGCACGTCACCAAGAAGAGAGCACAAGAAGCTTATCAACGGTCCAATCTTTGACCACGTTTCCTTCAAGAGTTCCCCAAACTCTTCCTTCCGTTGAGAATAAGTCGTGATCTCCACCGAAGATAATCTTTAAGCTGCGATAAAGAAGCCTTGAGGATATGTTATGATCTCCACAAGAATGATCTCTTATCTACTATAAAATGGCTCTAATCTGAGAGAGAAAGGGACACACATGCTCCATCAGAGACTTACAGAAGACGAACCAACTACCGGAGATTATTATTCTCCATTCCCCCTCAAAAAGCTTGTATCTCCATTCTCCATACCTTTGAATCAATAAAATACCCGGCGACTGAAGCCATTGAAGAGTGGACGTAGGTCGAATTGACTGAACCACTATAAATTGTGTCTTCTTTAATTCTTTCGTTGATTTCATTGCATTTATTATCTATACTTGACAGGTGGTGTGCAAAATCATTTTTGTGCATCATCATCTGCTATTGAGTCTTTTGTTAAAAATATATATAATTTTTTATAAGTGATGTGCACTACCGAGCTGGACAACTATTCCAAAAATTTCTTGTAAGCAAGGGTCCTCTTAACTTGGATTAGACAAATAACATTTACGCTTATAAAAAATGAGTAATGCTTGATTGATTAAAAAAAGAATATAAAATAAGAATTAAATGATGTGATATTATCATAATAATTTTTTTTTAAATTTAAATGTATAAAAATGGGACTAACAACATTATATTAAGAACATCTCCAATAACCTCTCTATTTCCACTCAACTCTCTATTTTAAAAAATCAATCATAACAAATTTATCTCAATTTTAATTTAACTCTCTATAATTGAAAAGTCAAATTCAATTTCTATTTATAATTAATGTATAAAAAGATGGCACATACATATTTTATTTATCATTTTGACTATTAAACTATTTTGATATTAAAATAAAGAATACTATTAGCGTTGTTAAAAATATTTATTTCTATTTTAACCTTTTTTTCATCAAAGATGTTGTGCATTACTCATCGAGAATTGATTCGGTGACTGACACATGCACTCCGTCTCACCCATAGAAATTTAAGGAATGACTCAGAGAGTCCCAAAACGCCACTCTGACTAAGCACAACCACAGCCCCTTCAAATTCCTCCCGATAAGCTTCACATCGAGAGACGTTTCGTCAGCCTAATCTTTTTTTTTTTCCCGGTAATTATCATCCTAGTCTTTGTTTCCAACGCTACTTCGCAATTCACAGTACCGTTTATTGATCGATCTGTCCGATTAAGCCTTTTGTCCGTGAGTCCGAACAAACTAGCGAGTTCAAGACATATGGCTTCAGCTGATGAAACCATGAGCATACACTCTTCTAGTATGATGGATGATGATCAGTACGAGGACACGGATGATGGTTATGATGATGATGATCATCGACCTCACAGCCTGTCCAGGCTATCCATATGTACAAGCAACTCCACCTACGGCCATGATGACGATGACCATGAGGAGGAGGAGGAGGATGGCATCAGGATGTTCATGTCAGGGTTATCGATTCAGAGCTTCGATTTGGATGCAGATGAAGAATTCTCGGAACAAAAAGATAGTAAAGACGTAATAATCGAGGGTTTGTCTTCGGATTCGGAAGACAACGAGTCAGTGGGATGTTACTCGATGCCGGCAACACCTTCACAAGTGCGGAAGCATCGAAGCAGTACTACTTGTGTATCCCGACAGAATCTCATAGGGGTAAAAGAGTACGTCAGCGAGAATGAAGCTCAAAGGCTGATGACGAGGAAGAGCACTAGCAGTAGCAGGAAGGGGAGAAGGAAAAGAAGACTCGCCGGAGGCAGATGGCTAGAGAGAGCAAGATCTTCGTATTACGATGATAAGAATAACAAAGATGATGAGGAAGTATCAGTTTTTGGTGGTGGTGGTGGTTGGAATTGGACTAATAGTTTTAGCGGGGAGAGTGAGAGTGGAGGTGGAGGAGGAGGAGGAGGAGGAGGAGGAGGGGTGATGGTGATAACGAGGCCAAAGGGAGGGAAGAGGTCGCTGTGTATGGACATGGAGGAGGTGAAGGCGTGCCGAGATCTTGGGTTCGAGTTGGAGTTGGAGCCCATGACCATACCCATACCCGTGCCCAGCCGCCTCTCCCTTTCAGCTTCTTCCACTCTTGACACCGCCAGCAGTGGTGGCACTTCTCCAATCGCCAATTGGCGCATCTCTAGCCCTGGTATTTTTTATATGTAATTCTTTGCAACTCTTTGATTACTTCTCACTCTCTGCTCTCATGAGGCTCTGTTCAAACTTCCAACTAATTAGTACGGACCTTCCCCCCCCCCCCCCAAAAAAAAAAAAAAAACTGTCCATACTGAAAAATTGCTTCTACTTCACTATATTTAGATTCATCCTCTTCTTTCAATGCTTAACTGCTAATCCTTTTGCCTCTCTTGTTAAAATTAGGTGATGATCCGCGAGATGTGAAAGCTCGGCTCAAGGTTTGGGCACAGGCTGTGGCACTAGCATCATCTACCTCTCGACACGGCTGCTAGTATTCACCCTCATTTCTTTCTTTTACTTTTTTTTTTGTTTCCTTTTCCCTTTTGTGTGATGAGTGCACTGGTTTTTCTTCGTTCTCATTCCTGTAGAGTATAGTTTCCTGAAGATTCTTCCCCCGGGGGGAGGAGGAGGAAGGATGGGGAATTGCTTTTAGTTTTAGGTTCCCTTTCTTACCTTTTCTTTTTTTTATCTTTTTTTTTTTCATGGGTGAAATTTTACACGTGCTGTGAATATGTTTAAAGGGTGGATTGAAACAGTTGATTTCAGATTAAGCGACTGATTTTTGTACATTATACAAACACTTCCGAAAGTAACCTTGCCTTGGTAAATACTAGTTTGTTATTTCTTCGGCGTAGATGTTCCCAATACTCTCCAAATCGTGAATAGATAGATACACATGCTCTTCTCCTCCCAGCATTATTACCAGCGTTGACAATAATAACTAGAACCCTCACATTATACTCCCTCGTTATTAAATATCTGTCATTTAAGATTTTTGTTCAAGAATTAAAGAAACTATTAAATAGATATAATATAAGTAAAAAATAATTACACAAGACTAAAATACCCTTATTCAATATGTATTGGAAATGAAAAGAATATAAAAGACACTTAGCCTCCACCTAATTTAATACATTACAAAGTTAAGGGTAAATTTAGAAAAAAAAATATTAATTATACTTTGGTTTCATAAAATGACAGATATTATGGAACAAAATAAATTATGTAAAATGACAGATATTTAAGAACGGAGGGAGTAGCATTTATGAATCAATTGTCTATTTTAGATAAATCGCCTTGCCACACCTTACAAAATTCTTACATAACCTTATACATGAGACATAACATTCTTAAAATCACATTGAACTCTCCTTTCTTAGACATGACCTTGTAGTGGACCCAATTTTATTTTCTGTACCCGAAAAGAACACATTTGTGGGGTGTGAGCTAAATATGTACTCAGTTATGTATACTAGCCACTCATCCAATAAAATTTATCAGACTGTTTCTACGTATCATTGTTACTCATCCAAAAATCAACATAGGGCCACAGCTTAAGACCTCCCTTACTTCGGTATATAGAGTCACAGTCCAAAACCTCCCCTCCTTCAAATTCTATGCACATACACGTAGGGTCACAACTTATAACCTCTCCTAATTTTATACATAGGGTCACAGTTAAAAGCCTATTACTGTTGGAACGGAAGTCTCAAGAACCATTGACATCACATATGTATCAAATATAAAAAAAAATTCATTAAAATTCTACAAAGCGAAGTTAGAGTTTTCCTACGAGATCGCTTTGGATTGATTTTGTCTCAACATGAACGTAAAATTTAAAAGACACATGCACAAAACAGCTCGATGAACCTCAAGATTTTCTATCGCATATTCCCAACCGCCAAAATTTGGATGCAGTGTAGGCTGCAAAGACTCTCGGGCCATGTTTGGTTAACTTTTCGGAAACTGTTTTTTGTTCTCAAAATTTCAAAAACATCAAAAATCTGTTTTTTTAGCATTTTTGTTATCAAAATTTTGAGAAAAAAAATGAGATTTGAGTAAAAGAAACAGAAAACAAGTCTACCTTGTTTTCAGAGTTTTTTCTTTGAAAATTTTGAAAACAAGGATAACAATTTTGGACTTTAATGAGATCTGCCCTTCGAGTCTCCTTAACAGCAAGTTTCTTCATTCTTTTTTTTTTTTTTTAACTTCTTCCTCTCTCTCATAATATATAATATATAGTATAATATATTATATAATATACGGATATTATAATATAATATATAATATACATATATATTATATATAATATATTATTATAAAAAAATATATTATATTTATAATATATAATATTTATATATTACATATAATATTATTAATTATTATATTATATTATATTATAATATATATTAAATTTTAAAGTTAGGTTTATTGAATTCTTTTAATGAAATTATCGATCTAAAAATAACTTTCTTATATTTTTTTTATTAATGTTTGAATTACTATTCAAACATATATTTAGGATGTCTAAACAAGTTTTACTATTTTCTGTATTGTAAAATTGTTTTTGAAATCATTTAACCAAACAAGGTTTTTATCTCAAAAAATATCAAAATCATTTTCTTAAAATTCTTCTCAAAAACTGTTTTCGAATACTATTTTTTGAAACGCAAATCAAACAGGCCCTCGAATTTCTACTCTCCTTTAGAGCCTCCCTTAAAACGTGAGCAATAAAAGTGATACTGATTTAGAGAGCTTAGACACCTATATAGGCCACGACAGAAACCCTAAGGAGAAATATGGGTCAGGTTTCCAATGGGCCTAAGATTCTTATGTTCAACGTAGAACAAACATTCTGTAGTCCACTAATAATAAGTTAGTCCACTAAAAATTTATTATTGATTTCCTGAGTCTTATCTCAAAATTATATTTCGAACTCCTTATTATTATATGCTTAATAATTTCTGCACGTTTAAGATTACAGATGTCCATCAATTAAATAAATTATTGATAATTATATTTAATTGAGTTATTTTATTCCTTGAGACCTTACCACTCAACTTATTTGTCATGTCAAATAATTAAATTCACTTACAAGGCTTGACATGGACAACACTTATGAATTTTCTTAAAAGGACATCATCAACCCATTTAAATATCAGGACATGGTTTCCTTTAATAACTAATTTTTACCATACAAATAATACCGTCTCTCAATTTATCGAGGTTATTGACTCAATATGAATCTCACTCTTTAATGAATTAAAGTGGCAATCATTATATGCACGTGGCGATTAAATATCTCGTGATTAGAAGTATAAGCAATCATAATAATCATGAGGTATTTATTATCTCATTCAATCAGTAAAAGATAATAACCTCAACATGTGTCTGTTCAATACACAAAGTGTACTAGTGCAATAATCAGAGACATCAAATAGTATCCTATAGTCAAGACAGACTATGCCAGAATATTGCATCACAATCATACTAATGATGTGAATCTATATTAATATTATACAAGGATTCGACAATTTGGTCTTCTGTGCATAAATCAAATTCTACAAACTAGATTATCTACAATATAAAATATAAGACACACATGCATACCATATATCAAATATAATGCAAATATTTTGCCCACATAAATTCTCAATAAAATGAAAAAAACAAACACCTATTGATTAATAAAACGAATTTCACTACAAAAAATAAATTTTTAGTATATACCTCTATCAAATACAACTTCTTGCATAATTGGTTTCCCACATGCATCCTCCTTATTTATATCTCGCTCCAAGGTGAGCGGTGGCCTTATGCGAAAACTTATCATACCTTTCACATGCACAATAAAATATACATGATTCATAATAACTTATAAAATATGTCATTCAATAAATCATTCTTTTATGTATACGTAACTTATAATAAAAGATATAGTATCAAAAAACTGCCACCCAGTAGAATGTACCAACACCTGAATTCGACGAACGCAACGATGATAGCTACGAAATGTATTGAGCCTATGTCCTTCCCAATCTAAGGGACATATATCACCTGTACCCTAACTCAAACTACCAATCACTTGACTCACTTCTGACCTACAACATAAATCACTCAATGTCATGAGTATCATTCATAATTGTATGTAATTCATTTATTAAAAATTGATTATACAAAGAACTGACAAGCCTCCCCTGAAATACTTAATCCAATTGTGTTTGGTCAAGCTGTTCTCACCACACACATTGAATTTCATCACGAAACCAATTCTGTTAGAAAGTAGACTTCTCTAGCTTCATATCCAACGGTCATGATCTAAAAATACGTCCCACAACTATTTTATTTATTTATTTTTCTATAGGATACCATAGCAGTCCAATTTTAGAATGATAAACTGTATTTTTTGGTACATATCCAGGTTCCCTGCCATATACCAACGCGAAGCCCTCTGAGTCTAGTTTTTAGTACTGGAAACGATGCATCATTTCAAGTTTCCTAAAAAAAATTATGCTCGTTTTTGTATAGTGTCCAGCTCGTTTTTGTATAGAGTGTTAAAGTTATCACGTATAACTCTAACTCTGAATTGTACAATATAATTTTCATTGATCCAAATAAAACCAATCCATTTTATACCACATCCAAATCATAATCTATTAAACTTCATTAAATCCGAATCTAAATCATTCAGTAGCAAATCTATTAAATATCCAACTGATTTCTAACTTTTGTAACGATTTATAACAATTTCTTTATCCAAAGAATTATCAACTGAAAAATACTAAACTAACATCATTCAGAAGAATTTAAACCATTAGATGTGAAATACAAGCTTTCACAAACAACATACTGAAATTTGATAACGATCAAAGTTAGTTTCACTGTTAGATTTGAGTTGGAAAACTTTTCTTCTCCATTGTTTTTCTTTCTTCTACCACCTATTTTTTTTCTTTTGTTTTTTCTTCATCGGTCAAACACACTCTTATCCTTCCCTTCTTTCCTTATCACTAAGCAAAACTACACTTCTTTCCCCATTTATCCCAATGAATTAAATTGGAGCTCAAATCTTTGTACAATATTTCTTTTTATTCTCAAATTTTTTTATAAATATAAATTTGAGTCTTACAATCCCACACTAATTAACGCTACCCATTTTCACCGGAGAGTCTCGACAGACATATGGCTGCTGTTTATGCCCAGCAGTCTCAACAATCTCATCACTACTGTCTACGCCCGGTATTTTCAACTATTATATCGTTACTGTTTATGCTTAGTAATCTCGGCAAATATAATCACAGAAAATCACATAATCCTACAATCCATAACTCAAACTCATAACCAATCATCGATTCACAACACTAAATTCACTAAATCACATAAATATAGCAAATAATTATTCATACACATTTTCAATCAATATAAATCAATACACTTACGTTGGGTTAAATTTAAACCCAAATTTTGTCCCTTTATAAAGTCTTAAGTGAATCTGACGTTGACGTCATAATCTCCGCACCTAATATACATTGCCACAAATCATATAAATATCATTTATAACACAACATTACACTACACATGCATATATGATTATTCGAGCTTAAGCCGATATCTTCTCGATACACCCTTCCATTTATGTAATGTACTTAAAATCTTAGATTTACTGACGTGTTTGTAGGTAAATAAAATTAACTAAAATTGATTTGAATCCATTAAAGTGTTTAAAAAAGATTTGAGGTTGAGTGGTTAACAGACTAGAGGCACTACGACAAAAATAGTGAAAATTCATGTTCCTACCGACAGTACATTTTACAGAATGTCATCCTACCGGTAGAAGGCTGACAGAAACTCTT